CTCTGGATTCTCATTAGGCTCCGTCATAAAGCAGAGGATGACACGCATACGTTCAAAGCCCGCTGCGCTTTATTTATTTCTAATAAGACTTTTAATGAGCTGCGGGAAGACGGCTTTGGTTTCGACACACCAAATAAAAGTATAGAAAGTATATCGTTCCGCCTTGAAGGGAAACCCTAACGACATGTGAAAGAGTTCTGCACACATGGTTCGTATACGTCCAGATTTACTGCACCGGTTTGGGTCTTCACGACAGAGAAACGTCAAAGGAAGCTGCAGTGGTCTCCCTCTGTGTTGTGGTTTCAAGCTTCAGAGTGGTAGACCCAGTAATGGAGGAGAAGAGGAGACATGGAGCCGTGGGGAGGGGGATAAGTGATGATGTGCCCAGATGTCCTTCCCAGAGGTGGATATAGACTCTCTCCTTCTTTTTTTTGCGGTGAGAAAAGGCCTAATGATGGGGAAGGGGGGGCGATAGGGTGCGGAAAGACGGATACCTGAATCCTGCATGAGACGCTGATGCTGGCGGAGCCTAACAGGGTTTTAATGTAACCCAACCAAGAAAGTTGTTCCTATTTCGTGATCTTCCTTCTCCCATAAATGCCTGATTTTATACCAACTTGCTCAAAACAATTTTATTATTTGTGGTTTTTGATGTAAATCAGATGTTTTTTTAAATAGAGGTGATGAATTTCAACGTTGCATCTTTAACGGGAGCTGGCTCGGAGCTCGTCTGCCTGGCTGTGTGTTTCCTTTAATTGGGCCGCCTGTGGAGCCGGTTTAGAGTTGCCTTTTGTATCTATGCTTCTTTTTCTATGTCTGCTTCTGTCTCCTTGAACCCCAGTCAGCCTCAGCAGATGTCCGCTCACACTGAGCCTGGTTTTACTGGAGGTTTCCTTCTGTTAAAAGGAAGTTTTTCCTCTCCACTGTCGCTACAAGCATGTTTTTACAGTAATATCCACCTGTATATTATATACGGCACATATCCAGCTGTAAATTTAGTTCATAACATTAGTTATCTATATTTTATATTATCCTGTTTATAATAGTATTCATCTCTATACTCATTCAGTAGAAAAACCCAGGTCCTGTATCTATGGAACCATCATTTATTCTGCACTTGCTGCTATTGCACTTCTGGTTAGACCTTAACTGCATTTTGTTGCCTTGTACCTGTACATGTGCAATGACAATAAAGTTGAATCTAATCTAATCTACTCTAATCTTAGTATGAAAGATTGCCTTCGAGTCAATAAGTCGATGCAATCAACTGGTAAAGTGCCTTAAGATGACGATGATGTGTTGTGAATTTGCACTATATAAATAAACTGAATTTAATTAAAACTGAATTGATAAAAGGAACATTTAGGTATGAAGCTTATTAGTGACACTAAGCATGACACAAAATGTTCAACGTCAGTATATCAGTATTTATTTGTCCCATTTGCTCAGACAAAAACTTACATTAAATTAAATAATAAAATATATTTATATTTTTATTAAACAGGACTTTTTATCTAGCCTCGTGAGACCATCCTGATCTCGCGAGCTTTCAAGGT